CTCAATGTATTTGCGTGGAAAGTTGCAAATAGCACACCCATGAAGGCCGGCACGGCCTTTAATCAAATATTAAGAAGGAAGGCAGGGATTTTTCTGGATTACTGATGGAACAGATTGTGTGTGTGTGGTGTGTGTGGAGAGACAAATATGAGAAGGCGATTTGTTATTTATTATGTGACAGTTATTATTTTGTATTATGTAAGTTTGAGTTGGACTTGGGCCATAATAATGATATCTAACGGAGACGGGAATTGCTTTTAACATCTAAACTAAACTAGTTATTTTACTAGGTAATGCCCACTGAGCTATCTTTCTCTTTTCAGAAGCGCCCTGACCATTACAAATGACAGATCAACGAAGTGGCATATCATCATCATCACCTCCATGTGTACATTTATAGCAGTAGCCAAAATTCTCGCAATGCCGTGATGTTGATTCTGAATGTGGAGGGAAAAACCGGAGGACCCAGAGAAAAACCCATGCACCATGGGGAGAGACAGAAAGACGCAGACTCCAAGTATACAGCAGCAGGCATCGGGGTCGGGATCGAACCCACGACCTCCTGTATACCAGGCGAGGGGTTAACATCTCATAGACAACGCGGCACAAATCTGGGACTTCGCCAGCATTGGCTCGAGGAAGGCTGACTTTGCAGATGACGCACTGAATGTCAAAACCCGATGCAGAACCTGTGCTTGCTATTGGACCAATGCTGCTGGAATTATTATTTTTTAAAAACCTGTCCAGAACTCACTCCCAGGGGGCCTCGTGTGAGGCTGGTGGGCTGATTAGACGTGGACACAAAGGTACAGTCCGTCCTCCAATAACGCGATGGTAGTAGTAGTAGTTGCGTTCCTGAAAGAACACCGCGTTATGGAAAAATCGCGTTGTAACAAACTTAGAATACAACTAGCGAGAAGTACCCGGCGTTGCCCGGGCTAAAAGACAGACACACACATGGATCGACACACACATTGACCCACACGCACAAAGACATCGACTTACACACACACATATGGACTCACACACACAGACATCCACTTTAGATACACACACATGGAGTTAGACACACAAGTGGACGTACACACATACAGCGAGTCACACACATCGACCTAAGCACACATATGCACTTACACGCACACATATTGACGAAGACACACACACATGGACTTACACACACATACACATCGACATACACACACACATCGACTGACACACATAGACACACAGTGACTTACACACTGACATGGAGCCATGCACACACATTGACTAACACACACACATCGACTAACACACACAAAGCGACTGAGACACACATGGGCTGAGACGCACACTTGGACTTACACACACACATCGACGTACACACACACACACATCTGACGTTGCCCGTGCAAAAAAATACACACATCGACTTACACGCACACATGGACCTAAACGCACACACACATGGACTGACACACACACATCGACTTACACAGCAATCCCCGATGATGCCACAGCTAGAGAAATTCTCTCTCTTGCGAGCCTTAGCGAGCAGCATTTTGAAAACAAAAGTCTTCCCAGTACTGGCAGGTGCATCAAGGAAAAGAATGTGACTCCATTTGTAGTCTCAATGTCTTCCAAGATTTTCGTGTAGGCTTCTATTTGTGCATCCATCAGCTTTGGTTCATTTTCCTAATAAAATCTAAGAAGCTGTAAAGCATAATAGCATATTTAACGTAGGGTCTCTTGAGCAAGGGCGTACAGGTTGTCCCTGTAGGGCGTTAGTAGTCCCATAGACGCGAGGTATTTAGCACCAATGGAGCGCAGTTTGTCGTGAAGGAGGATGAGGGCCTGTTTGAAGATCACATCAGAAGTCACGAAAACTTCAAATCTAGATTGGCATCAGAAAAGTTGACGTCGAGGTTTGTATTTTGTTATTGAGCTCCGTGGAGGATGTCCTCACTCATGGCCTCTTTGTATTTTTGGCAGAGTCACATGGGGTAAGATGTGCTGCAAACTTTAAGATGTATGCCGAAGAGCAATGTCAGTTGGAAAGGGGACTGACCAACAGAAGCTTCTGTCATGGTCAAGAATTGCACGAAGGTTGCAAGCTTCCCTGTATGTTTGACAGACAACTCCTTTGACTGTTTAGCGGTCTTGGAAAGATTTGTGCCCTTTGGCAACATGGAGAAGCATTGGGAGAAAGTAGCACTGCTGATTGTTGGCATGAACTGTGCAGACTCGTCCTAAGGCATCCGATTTACCGTCAGCAGCATGTCGCTTCAATGTTTTTTGAGCAGTCCATGTATAGTAGGAGGTAACTTAATGGTAGAGCAGGTTGGCAGCAAATGGGTAACTTGGGCACAAAACAAAGAACGCCATAAGGGTGGTATGTTGTGGAGCCAGGGCCTGTTGTTGGGGCATATCCTTTGGGGACGTAGATGAGTTGACCATTTTGGAGGTGAAGTGGCAAATAGACGACTGTGGGGGAACGGTCATGGATGGAGAAGCCAAGAATTCAGCAAATGGCCCCATAGTTGCTGTTGTATGTTCCTTGGAAAAAAATTTGAGCTCGTGCACACTTTGTCCCTCTGTTTTGTAAGGCAAAGACAGACATGTCAGGGTCTTTGTTGATGTATTGGCAAAGATAATTGATGGCTTTTTTTAGAATAGAATTTGACATTAAAGTGGGCCTGGAAGATCTTGCACAGGAGAGGGTAGTAGGGAACAATCTACCAGTTGTGAGCCTTAATTAGCGAGTTAGTGGCAGGTCTGAGCGTTGTTTGAAATCCATCATGCTCAGTATTTCTGTGACGATATAAACGATAGCCATCATGGGCCGACTGAGTGTCTTTCAAGTAGTTGCATGGATACCTCTCGGTACACCTGTGGTCTTGCATACATGGCGCATTTGGATAGAACTGGCCACATGGGCCATGGACCATTTGGTTGCAAACCACGTAGGGGCAGGGTCTTGATGGGGGTGAGGTAGCTCAGCACTGATAAATGTATGAATGTGACTTGCATGAATTGTTTCCCTCATCCATAGGGAAATGTGAGAATGAGGAAGACGACGTTTTTGCCACCCAATGGTGTGCAAGATACTGCTTGTCTATGCTAAGACGCCGCCTTCGTTGGTGGTAATAAACACCATGAGGTCATAAACTTTGAGTTTTAAGACCCTCGCTAAGATGTCATGTCTGTCTGGTGGTTTTTGGTTTGGATAAAGGTAAACCTGGATCTCCTTTCATTTGGGATTGCAAATGAAGGTGATGAAGAGATGGGGCGTGGCATATTGGCTGATGTACGTCATGGCATCCTGAGTCTTCTCATGCATGTATCTTGGTGGAGCTGTGAAGGATAAAGTCAAAATAACTAATGAGCCCACATTGTGACCGTGTGCATCTCCTTCGGCATTGATGGCATCCCAGAGATGAGCATACTGTTCACACGCAGGCGGTTTTGATTCAGTTGAATATAAAGAAGGCGCTCACTCTCCATGTTGGCATACTCATTGACAACATACTTGTGAAAGAGGTTAGCGCACAATAATATGTGGTTTCCTCGTGTGTCCATGATCACGAAGGAATAGAAGTTTATTTAGAGGAGACAGTTTTGTGAGGATGTCTCTGTCCTGTAGCTTTGTAATTGGAGGAATCTTGACGTGGTACCCAACTTGGTCTTGCGATGGGAAAATGTGTTTTTGTAGGGCATCGTATGCTCTGTTAGTGTCAGCAAATCGTGCGATGGTGTTTTCTTGGTGTGGAAGAACAATGTCTCTGTCACAATGTTCCTCAGCCACCGTAAGAAAGCAAGGTCAACAATTTTTGGAGTATTGAACCTCCCTGTGTGCGCCCCACTTTGGTGAAAAGTAAATGTGTGGTTAAATTAGAGTCCGCTATAACGCGTGAGATGCGTAACGCCGCAGGGCCGAACAAAGACCGAGGCGCGTGAAGGGTAGGGTCTCGAAGCATCATCCAGCAGCATCCCGCTGCCTTGCGCTATGATGATGATGCGACACCGAGGCGAAGCCATACGACCGCCTATTCACGCTCGCTGCGACGTAGTTCCGTTCAGCTCGATCGCGTTTACATCCAATTCGCACCCGCGTTATAAACGCAATGCGTTCCCGGATACATGCATCGCACTGTGTATCCAATTCGCGTTAGACAAAAGCACGCAGTGTTATTTAGAACTGACTTTACCCGGTTGCGGTGTGTAAACATCGCTACTGGGGAGACAAAGGCGGCCGGGCGTGGTGCTGGCCACCCACCCCCTCGTGTGCCGTGCCGGCCTTCATAAGTGCTACTTGCTAACAGCACTTGACCCTACAGTCTGTTAAGGATATACGGGGGATCTTTCTATTATTTTGGTTGCTATGTACAGAATGATGGTGGTAGTGATGATGGTGTAGGTATGTTGAACTTCTTTCGCACCGTACTTAGCCATACCACGCGAACCGAGAGCGTGGGGGAAGGACAACAAACTATGGGTCTCTTTGTGAGTCTGTGAGTCTGTGTGTGAGTCTGTGAGTTTCTGTGTGAGTCTATGGGTCTCTGTGTGAGTCTGTGGGTCTCTGTGTGAGTCTATGGATCTCTGTATGAGTCTATGGGTTTCTGCGTGAGTCAATGGGTCTCTGTGTGAGTCTATGGGTCTCTGTGTGTGAGTCTATGGGTCTCTGTGTGAGTCTGTGGGTCTCTGTGTGAGTCTGTGGGTGTCTGTGTGAGTCTGTGGGTCTCTGTGTGAGTCTGTGGGTCTCTGTGTGAGTCTATGTGAGTGTATGAGTCTGTGTGCGAGTTTATGTAATGTATGTATGCTGATGGGATGTGGACACACACTACTTTAATGATAATATAGTTTCGTGTGTACGTTTACGTGTGCGAGGGAGCGATTACTGGAACCTCGGGAGAATCATTTATCTCTGCGTGTTCATCGTGTTTTTATTTGCTCACCCACCGAGCCCATGGCTCACCGGTGGCGCAAGAGTGGAAAATCCATCCCCCTCCTCCACCACCACTCCCTCTGGGTTCTATAAAGCGAAGAGGGCAACGAGACAGCGACCATCCGAATTCCCCTTTCCAAGCCCGGTGCCAGCTGAGCTCTCATCCATCACCACCATGCAGCAGCTGCAGCTCCTCCTCCTCGTGGCTCTGGCGGTCGGCATGGAGGCGAAACCCCTGAGTGAGTGGACGAAAGAGCTTCATGGCTCATCGGATTCCTCCGGTATATTGAATGCTGCTTTTTGAGTGTCGCTATTGTTGTTGTCATCAAAAGCATCATCAGCAGCAGCAGGAGCAGCACAATGCCGTGATTAACTGCAGCAGCAATTTAATCCAACACCACCACCACAGACAAAGGCAGCCACTGCATCTACGTACTTTTAAATCATCATCTCGATTGACAAACGCCTTTCTTGAGAACTGCTGCTTGTTGTTGTGTTCAGTTTGTTGTATTTCATACTCTTTGGTTCTATTGGGTAAAGTCACGTAGGTAAAAAATAAAATAACAAAAATCACGACGTTTCGGCCACAACACAAGCGGCCTTCATCAGGTGAAGGGACGAGACTGTCTGGAGGACAGCGCTGGAGTGAAAAAAAGCCACGCTCAGATCACGACCTTTAAGCTGTGTGAGAAGAAACAAAGCACCTTGACAAAGGAATTAGCATATAATTTAGCATTGAAATGGCTGAGTGATTAGCTTGTGACTGGTCACAGAAATGGCTATGTTAAAGTTAAAGCATACACATCCGCAGAGGCACCCCTTGACAAAGGATGCGGATGTGTATGCTTTAACTTTAACATAGCCATTTCTGTGACTAGTCACAAGCTAATCACTCAGCCATTTCAATGCTAAATTATATGCTAATTCCTTTGTCAAGGCGCTTTGTTTCTTCTCACACAGCTTAAAGGTCGTGATCTGAGCGTGGCTTTTTCACTCCAGCGCTGTCCTCCAGACAGTCTCGTCCCTTCACCTGATGAAGGCCGCTTGTGTTGTGGCCAAAACGTCGTGATTTTTGTTATTTTATTTTTTACCTACGTGACTTTACCCAATAGAACCAAAGAATATGGATCCTTGCAGTCACGAAAGCTTTAAATCTAGAATTGTTGTATTTCCCCAGCACCTCCGATTAGCACGGTTGGCTACGTACGGTGCGAAAGAAGTTCAATATACGTACACTATAAACACAGACCCAGAGACTCAATCAGAGACCCATAGACTCACACAGAGATCAATAGTTTGTTGTTCTTCCCCCCAAGGGCGCCTTAAAGGGGTGGAAGGTTAGGACGATTCTAAGGGCCCAGGCTGATTTAGGGCCCAGAAGAGCAGACCCCCTTTTTCTTTTCTTATTTCTTTTCTCTTTTTTATACATACACTAAATGTGCTAGGGCCCCTCGTGCACTAAATGCGTATTTTGTCCGTTTTGACCATAGATTTAATATTAAAAAAAAAAACAAATAATGTATTTACTGTTTCAGTCACACCCCTCCCCCTCACAATGGTTCATTCCACCTGCGCTGTCCAAGCTACGATCGCTAGTGTAGCGTCTCTTGCTTATTGCACTTGCTATGACGCAGTGCAGACAGTGACACACGCAGGCATGTCACATCAAAAGTCAGGGCATCAAAAACGGAAAGAAAAGAGGGAAAGAGAAGACAGGGAACGCCGAAGGCGACAGTATGTCACACAGTTTTTCAAAAAGAAAGGTAGCTTGCCCTATTCCTGTATTCCAAAACTTTCAGAGTTACTTATTTTTGTTGCTACATGACCTGCCTTTATCTGGCTAGCTTAGTAAAATAATTACTGAATTATGACTTACATCCAACAATAATAACATCTCTGCTGTCTCCGGGGTTATCATGTCTCGTAGACACAGATTCAGCAGCTGCTGCACACCCACGTCCTCCTTCCCCCACATCCCCCGTCCCCGTCTCAGCCGAACAAGGTGAGCCTGAGCGCGAAACTTCACGAAGATTGAAGCCTCTAAACACGTCTTATCTACTGTGTTCGCCACGTGATGATAACTTTACAAAACAAAAAGTAATCTACACGTTTTCAAAAATTACAAAATCAGGTTGCCGTGTGTGTGTCGTGTGTTCTGTGAAGTGACAGTGCTGCTGCTACGATCGATGCTGTCAAACTTGACGTTCTTAAAGTGAATAAAATGCCCCAGAAAAAAATAATATAAAATTGAATAAAACATGTGTCTGTAGATATTTTAATATTTTATATTAAGAAAACTAAATAGGCCAATACAAATGATATGGTTATTATTACGTGTGTGTGTGTGTTTGACTTATACAGATGCAGAGCCAGCTTTATTGTCTGCACCTCGTTCTCCTACTAATGACTCAGTCCTCTCAGTGGCAGGTAAGGTGAACATGGTCAGCTACCAAGGTAGTAAACAACTAATTAAGTTTTGGATGGTCTAATTTTTTTCTTGTGTTGTATAGTTATATGTTTCACATAATATTATTCAACAATGCAGTTAAGAAAATATTAATTCTAAGCTGTAACTTGTTGTTGACTGGGGGACAAAAATGATTTTGCTATCCTAACCCCACAGAAACAAGAGAGAGACAGAGAGTTTTGCCAGGAAAGAGTGTGGAAGTTGAGGAAGCGGTGAGAATAGTGGAATATGAGAACACAGAGGGAGCCCTAAGTGTAAAGGAAGATAACAGAAGAGAGGAAGATGCGAGAACAGGGGAAGCCATGAGAGCAGACTCAGAGGAAGATGAAGAAGAGACTGTTGTGTCAAATGATCCTGGTTTGTGGTCAGAAAAAATTAGCAATGCAGACAGAGAAAAAATTGTGGAAAAAATAGCTTCTTCTAAAGATAAAGAACAAGAAATGCCACATGATTCAAAAGGTAAAGCCTTCCCCGAATACCTCAAGCACACAAAGTCAGGAAATTGCAGGGAAAAGATTAAGAGAGACTGGGTCATTTACAGCCAAAGCACAAATGCACTATTTTGTATTCCTTGTGTATTATTTGGCCATGAGCTAAAAAAACCTTGTATGAGCGCACTAAGCAGTCAACATGGTTATAAAATCAAAGACGTAACATGGCGTCGAATGTATGATAAATTCCCTAACCACGAAAGCAGCAAAGCACTCAGGGAGTGCTACTTAAAATGGAAAACCTTACAACAGTCTGTAATGGCAGCTGTCCCTGGGGGAATAGACAGCAAGCTGAGGAAGCTCATACAAACAGAAATAGACAAAAATAGAGCTATTCTGAAGAGGATACTCGATGTAACCTTGTTCTTGGCCTCTCGAAATTTACCCTTTAGGGGTAAAACAAAAGACTTGGGGGACATTCATAATGGCAACTTCTTGGGCGCCCTTGAGCTCCTGTCCCATTATGACCCACTACTCAACGAACATCTACAAAAAGTCAGAGACAACAAAAACAGGAACAAGATTGACACACTATTTAAGCTCAGATATTCAGAACGAATTTATGGAGTCATGTGGAAAACGAGTGTTAAGTAGTATTCTTAAGGAAAGGGAGGAATCAGTCTATTATTCAGTCATTTGCGATGCTACTCCTGATATTTCACATACAGAGCAAAATGTATTACTCTTACGATATGTAGGTTTTGATCAAGAAAACAAGATATGGGAGGTTGTTGAAAGGTTTTTGGAGTTTAAAGATTTTCACAAAAAAACAGGAAGTGAGATTGCAGACATGATTGTAAATGTGCTTAACAGTCATGGCATAGATCTGAATGACTGCAGGGGCCAAGGCTATGATAATGGGGCAAACATGTCTGGAAAAATCAAGGGGGTTCAAGCCCAATTATTAAAAAAAGAATAAGCTGGCTACTTTTTCCCCTTGTGCGTCTCATACTCTGAACCTTGTTGGTGTGCATGCAGCTCAATCAAGTCCAGAGGTTACCAACTTTTTTGGCTTTGTCAATCGCCTTTATGCACTTGTTAGTGCCAGCCCAGAGCGATGGGCCATCTATAAGGCAAAAACGGGTTGCACTTTACATCGTCTGTCAGACACTCGGTGGAGTGCAAGGGTTAAGGCTGTTCAACCTATAGCCAAGCACCTGCCCAGTGTCCTATAAGCTCTTGATGCCATCCTCTCAACCTGCAGTCTGACACCAGAGGCTCGGTCTGAAGCCAGCGGCCTAAAAAAGTATTTTGAAACTTTTGATACTGTTTTTCTGTTGACTGTTTGGGTCAAAGTTCTGCAAGCCATTGACAAAAGGAATATTATTCTCCAGTCAGGGAAATTAACTCTTGAGACGGAGGCAGAAAATGTCAGAGCATTGCAGGAGGAGATGCAACATCTGAGGGATGAATGGGAGAGTTTCTTTTCTGAAGCATCACTTGTTGCCCAACAGATGAGCATTAACCCTCTGTTCAGGTCAGGATTCAGCCGCCAGAGGAAAAGAAAACGGTATCACGATGAGACAGAGATAGAGGGAGCAAGGGAGCACAGTGCAGACACCATATTCAGAAACACTGTGTTTCTTCCCATGATGGACCACATAATCAATGACTTAAGTACCAGGTTTGCCACAACAGCTGAGATCTTGGATCAGTTTTCTGTAGTTGTAAAAATGGGTCAGTTACGTGATGATCAAATCCATTCTGTATGCCAGCCATTGATTTCAAAATACAACACTGATCTGACTTGTGAAATTGAAGATGAAGTCAGACACCTCAACTCTGTAGATAGGGCCACTTTCCCAGGGTGTCTGTCAACAATTTATCTGCTCAACAGCATTTACAAGATGCAGCTGCAGAGTATTTTAGGGCAGGTCTGCATAGTTTTGCGAATATTTCGCACACTGCCTGTGACCGTTGCTGGTGGCGAGAGAGCATTCAGTAAGCTGAAACTGGTAAAAAATTATCTGAGGTCTGCTATGTTGCAGGATAGACTTTGTCACCTTGCCATACTATCCATTGAAAGCAAACTGGCAAGAAAGCTGAACTATGATGATTTGATACGTGATTTTGCCAGCAGAAAGGCATGCCGCTGGGCCATTATAAAGTAATGTTGAACATAACTTTGTTAGACCTGGATAACAAACAGTTGATGTCTGGTTCAGTACTTGTTTAGTCCTGGACTGGTTTAGGCCTGGCATTACTCCTGGTGTGTCTTCATTTTGAGCCATTTTGGCCTAGCTAGTTTTATTCCTGGACTGATTTAATTATGGGTTAGTTCTAGCTGATGTTTCCTGATTGAGCAGTTTGACCCAGCTAAAGCTTGTTCATGTAAAGTATATGTCAATATGTGTACATTATGTTCTGTTGTGCTTGCAATTGAGATAATAAATGTTCTCCCTTTTATGTAAACAAGTACATATTTCTATATTTTTTTCTTGTTTTTGTAGGCTTTGTACTCATCTTTAAACATTTTAACTATGCAATGTGCTAAGTATCTTTTGTAAAGTATACTGGGCATGTTTATTGGGTTAAATTTTATCTGTAAAAAATGTAGGGGGCCCAGAAATTTTGGTTTCCATAGGGCCCAGAATTTCTGGCGGCACCCCTGCTTCCCCCTGCACCTCCGACTTGCACGGTTGGCTACGTACGGGGCAAAATAAGTTCAATATACGTACGTGTCTTTAGATTCATTGTTTTTCATTGCTTTGAGGGATGAATTGTTTCATGAGATTCACCGTCAGTGGGATTCACTCGTCTCATGCAATTCACTGTCTTTACGATTTGCTGCCTCTTAAACTAATTTTACATTAAACACATGAAAAAACATCTTACCAGGTAAGGCACCACTGATCTATGTATCTCTGTTGCACAAGCGACCTGGCTGGCCACAAATGCCGGCTCAACGGAGCAGCTGATCATACTCACGTGTAAATTTATATCACCCAAATAAATAGACTCTAAATGCATAGAGACCCATAGAGATACATAGAGACCCATAGAGATACATAGAGACCCATACACTAATCAATAAACTAATCTATTTTTCTATTGCACGCTTTTATTTAACTCGCTATCTGTTGTTGTATCCTCAAATATTGTAACTCAATTTTAACCCACTTCCCAATGTGGTATCGACCGCAAACTTGGTATACTTGTGTCATACTGATGACAATACTATATGATATCATTAAGAATAAAAATATTTTTTATTGTCCACGCTCAACTAACGTTGGCTGTAAATCACCACGGCCCCTTACGTTAATGGCAAGCTTCTGGGACAGTTTCTGGAGTCGTGGAGTTCCGCCATTACTCGTACGGTACATCTCATTAAAGCGTGTTTTTAAAAAAAAAAGTATTTTTAAATATTACTTATTTTTGCAGAAGCGACCTGGCTGTCACAAATGACGGTGCAACGAAGCGGCCCATCACCATCGCGTGGAACTTTATAACAGACAAATAAATAGACTCTCTGGACGCACACTTCTATGCACGCGATTCACCGTCTCGAAGCGAGGAGTAACTCTTCTCTCTCGAGCATCGTTGTCACTTTGCGGCGCTACTGCCAGCGGGATTGATTCACCGTCTCTTTTTTTAAGTCTCGCTGTTTTTTTGAGTTTGACTTTCTTGAAAGGGCGCCACGGTGGCTAGGAGATGTTAACTTCCTCGCCTGGTGTACAGGAGGTCGTGGGTTCGATCACGACCCTGACGCCTGCTGCCGTTGTATATTTGGAGTCTGCGTCTTCTCCCTGTGCTCGCTGATTGTTCACTGTTCTGCTGATTGTTCACTGGCCCCCCGTTGCGCGTTCTGCGCAGGTGTCACCGGGTTGAAGTCGCTGCACAAACGCTACGTCAACGACTACGACGCACCCATCGACTTCTCTTGCCCGGCTCACCAGTCCATCTACATCATCCACAGGTGCTGACAGTCCTCGACTTACGAACGCAATTCCTTCCTGAGACCCCCTCCCCCCCCCACCGTTCGTAAGTTGAACGGTTCGCAAGTCGAAACACAGTGAACTACTGCATGTCATGCCCACACAGACACTCCCAGCACGAGGCTGACTTTATTACGTCTCGCGGAGGAGTGCTCGGCTGAACAAAATAGGGCTGCGGTTCAATTTGCAAGTGAAAGTTCGCGCTTTAAGCCAATGTCATAAAAATAAAAATATATATTTAATGGAAGCTGCTTCGTAAGTGCGAGTATTCCTAAGGGGGCGTCCATAAATGACGTCACGCACCTGGAGAGGGGGGTGGTCAGACATTTGTGACGATGTGTGACGAGAGGGGGGGCGGGGGGGGGGTTGAGAAATGTGACGTCACGTAAAAATGCTGCAACTTTATAAATAAATACAGACAACACGTTCTACTTAATAAAATCAACTTTGTTAATAAATGTTTTCTCCTACAACATCAGAGTGCAGCGCCACATTAAATACGCAACTACAATGACAACAATAGTTTAAAGCCATTTGAAGCATGTCTTATATATATTTTTTTGGTGGGGGGGGGGAGACAGAGCTTTGTGACGTCATATTTGAAGGGGTGGGGTCTGACTTTTTGTGACGCCGTGTGACGAAGTGGGGGGGGCGGGGTCAGAAATCGCGTGACGTCATTTGTGGCCGGCCCCTAAGCCGGGTTTGTGTGTTAGGGCAAGTGGTGTTAGTAGTGAGTAGCAGTGCCCATGAAAGCCGGCACCGTGGCACACGCAGAGGGTGGGTGGGTGGCCAGCACCACCACGCCCGCCCGCCCGCCCGGCCGCCTTTGTCTTCTGAGTGTAAATGTTTACTACACACCGCAGCGGTGGGGGGGAGGGGTACTCATTTGAGGCTGAGTCGACCAAGGGGAGGTCCAGTCCCGGTTCAGATAATCGTCAATGGTGTTTGCCTCGAGCGGGAATGGAACTCGGGTCGCTGGTTTTGTAGCGCAGCGCGCTTACCCGCTACCGCTCACCGTCACAGGTATGTACGCACACACACACACACACAAATAACAACAATAAAAACAACCGCCTTTCACCACCAAGTTGGCGGTGACATCACCACGTCGCTTGCGCCAGGCTAGGTGCACTTTGGTGCAACTGTCAGTCATCTCAGTCAGTCATCCCATGGCACCTGGGTTTGTCCTGTGACCTCAGTTCAGTTCATTTATTAGGTACAGCCCTGTGTGTAAGTCGACCTGCTGGCAGCGAGCCTTCAACACTTCACGCGTCCTCAAAGTGCACCTGGCCTGGCACAGGTGCCGTGGGGACGTCACCGTCACTCCGTGGCGAATGGCGGATATTGGTATTGGTGCACCTTGAGGCCAACGTGAAGTGTCGAACGCCCGCTGGCAGGAGGTCACGGGGCAGACCCAGGTGTGTGCCATGGGTTGACTGAGATGACTCGCAGATGCACCACCTGCGCTCCCCACTGTGCTAACTTGCTGCGTTTTAGCCGCCCGGCACTCCGCTCCATAGTTGTTGTTGCGTCCTTCATGAGCCTCCTCCTCCTCCACAGAGGCCGATCTTGACACCGCTGGTACTGCTCATCGGCAGGTCCACTCAGCTCCACGTACTCATTTTGCCGCATCAGCTTCATCTCTGCTGCAGCCCGTGCCATGCCCATTTAAAACTACATTTTCATTTGTATTTTACCAGGTAAGGCCCACTTAGCCCTTTTTCAGAAGCGTCTTGGCCAAAAAGGATAGAGAGCTCAACGACGTAGCTTATCACGTGGGCATTTGAACTTTATGGCGGGTCCCCAGGGTCCCGAATAAACAGAAGTAAAGTAAAAAAAAAAAAACGTTATTAATTAATTTATTTATTTTTGGCGACTCCGTCCCACCGCGCACAGAAACGCCGCGACCCACCTGGAGTGGATCGTTCTGTCGTCATTGTCGTCCAAGCGCGGCGAGGTCGAATGCGCAGAAGAAACAAAACTTTGAAACTTTGATTGGCGCATCGTGTAGAGCTCCTCAAGCTGGAATAGATTGCCGTATTGTTTGCCTTCAGTAGACATAAAATGATGTCGCAGCGCACTTTATGCGCGAGCCGGGGGCTTATGGGACCCCGGGGTCTCGCCGTAAGGTTAATTTATTGCAGTACAGTAAAATACTCTAAACGTGTGTTTATACATGTGGAGGGAAAAACCCGGAGGACCCAGAGAAAAATCTACGCGACCACGGGGGGGGGGGGGGAGAGGGAGATGCAGAAACTCTAAATATACAGCAGGTTGAGATGGCACCCACGACGTCCTACATACCAGGCGAGGTAGTTAATATCCCCCTGCATCTGTGTCTATCTGCGTGTGTGCATGGGTGGGTGGCTGGTAGTATCCACAACAACGACGCCGAGGACCGCATCTGGGACTTCCGCTGCAAGGAGACGTTCGACCTGAGCCGCCCCGTCTCCTCCTTCGCGACCTCGTACGTGAACACCTTCGACGAGAAGCTGGATTTCACCTGCCCATTCAACTCCATCGTGTCCGGCATCGGGAGCTACCACAACAACGACGCGGAGGACCGCAGGTGATGGGACCACCGGTTACTTCGAATTTCACAAAGATGTGGGGAAAGAGCCGATTAGCGAAAGTGCCAGCGGTGGTGGCAAACTCCCCCCCCTCCCCCACGACCTCCTGCATACCAGGCGAGGTAGTTAACATCTCCTAGCCACCGTGTGTGTATGGGGAGCTGTAAGCGCAGTGGATGGTGCAAACCCGTCCGATTGAATCTCTGACTTCCTGCATACCAGGCGAGGTAGCTAACATCTCCTAGCCACCGTGTGTGTATGGGGAGCTGTAAGCGCAGTGGATGGTGCAAACCCGTCCGATTGAATCTCTGACTTCCTGCATACGAGGCGAGGTAGTTAACATCTCCTAACCACCGTGTGTGGTGACCTCTAGTTAGCGCACTTGCCCAGCAAAACCCGGCGATCCCAAGTTCGATTCCTGTTCACGGCCGACACCAGTGATAGCGATTATCTTCATTAGTACCTGGGCTTTTCCCAGAGCGACTCAGCCTCAAATGAGTACCTGGTGCAATGTGTAAACATTGCTACTTGGGAGACAAAGGCGGACGTGCGTGGTGTTGGACACCCAGCTCTGGGTTTGCCGTGCCGGCCTTCGTAGATCCTCACTAACAGCACTTTCCCCAACAGTCTGTTAAGACGACACGGGGGATCTTGGTATTTTTTGGTGGTGATGGACAGAATGATGGTGATGGTGGCGATGATGTATGTATATTTAACTGCTTTTGCATTGTACATAGCCAACAGTGCTAATCGGAGGTACAGGGGGAAGGACAAACACACTAAACACAAACAACTGTTCTAAGTAAATGAGTTTGATGATGATTTAAAAGTGTATAACTCCAGTGGCTTCCTAAAATCGGAAGGAAGAGCATTCCAGATGGCCACAGAAGCAGCGTATCTGAAAGCGCCGCAACCTGCGGTGATGCGGTGACCGTCTTTGTTCGATAGCTAGCCAAAACCGCTGCTGCGAGGATGACGGGGAGTTCGTGTGATGGTTTGTGGTTGTGATGTAGATGATGTTGGAAGTGGTGAATTGTGATATTGGTGTTGGTGGTATTGATGAGATATTGGTGTTGGTGGTATTGATGAGATAATGGTGTTGGTGGTATTAATGAGATATTGGTGTTGGTAGTATTGATGAGATATTGATGTTGGTGGTATTGATGAGATATTGGTGTTGGTGGAATTGATGAAATAATTGTGTTGGTGGTATTGATGAGATAATGGTGTTGGTGGAATTAATAAGATATTGTTGTTGGTGCTTTTGGGGTCCCTAACCACTCTGCCCGCTCACTCTTTGGTTCTTTCGGTAAATTCGCGTAGAAATAAGAAATAATAATAATAATAACAATTAAATTACATAAAAGCATACGACGTTTCGATTGCAACGCAAGCAATCATCATCAGGCATAGAAGAGCTAAATTTAAGAGAGAGAGGGAACACAGAACCGCAGATATATATACAGATACCCAAGTAGAGGGAGTTAACACAGAAACACAAAGAGAGACACAACGTATGGAGCACAGAGAGACAGGGTCTCTGTGTCTCTCTCTCTGTGTCTCTGTGCTAACTCTCTCTGCTTAGATGTCTATATATGTGTCTGTGATCTGTGCCCTATCACTCTTAACCTATAATTTAGCAATCTTTGAAATAATGTAATCAGCCAGACCATGCGTTAATTGTGTTTTGACCGACCCTCTGTGTTGCATTATATTGTTTCCAAATTTTACTAAATCTTGTTCGATTTGATGTGCTTCTCCATCTCTCTTTGTCTCCCCTACATGCTAGGGCCTCGACACAGAGACCCTGTCTCTCTGTGCTCCATACGTTGTGTCTCTCTTTATGTCTCTGTGTTAACTCCCTCTACTTGGGTGTCTGTATATATATCTGCGGTTCTGTGTTTCCACTCTGCCCACTATTTTATTGTATTTTTTTATTTTGCCATGTAAGGCCCCATTGAGCTGTGTAGCTCTTTTTCAGAAGTAACTTGGCCATCACAAATTATAGCTCAACGAAGTGGCGTATCACATATAAATGTATAGCAGCGAAATACTCTAAACGCATGTTTCTAAATGTGGAGGGAAAACTGGAGGACCCTCAGAAAAATGCATGCGACCACAGGGAGAGAGAGAGAGATGCCAACTCCAAATATACAGCAGGCGTCACGGTCCAGAAATCGAATCCACGACCTCCTGTAAACCAGGTGAAGTAGTTAACATCTCCTAGCCACCGTGGTGCCTATCATGATGTAGATTACCATAATGACGGCGGTTATCAAATGGTGCTTTACACTTATATTTGTGGTTATGAAGATAACGTAGATGATGACAATGACGAGGATGATGACGAGGATGAAGATGATTGCCTTGCAGATGGAAGTTCACCTGCACCATGCAGGCCAACGTCTGCTTGGGTGCGTGCCAGTGGACTGACTACCTCAACGACTTCGACTCGCCAATCTTCTGGGTTGCCCCGGACTCCCGGTACCTGGTGGGGGCGCACAGCTACCACAGCAATGACGCCGAGTGAGTTTGTCCGCCCATCAGTGGCTGTTGTCACTTGAACCTCGAACCTTATGGCGGGACCCCGGGGCCCCGAATAAACGGAAGTCAAAATCGTAATTAAGTCATTTTTGGCGACTCCGTCTCACTGCGCACATAAACGCCATGGGAGAACCGGGGGCTTAGGGGACCTCGTGGTCCCGCCATAAGGTTCACTTCACAAACCGCTATCATTGGACACAGCAAGACAGGGGACCGGGGTTCAAATTCCCGACTCAGGACGCATTTCAGCGTGGAGTGTATATGTTCTCTCCCCTGCTCTGCAGAGACTGTGTAAGTGTGTACATGTGTTGAACGTATTTCACACCATACGTAGCCAACCATGCTAACCGAAGGTGTGGTGGAAGGACAACAAACTCTGTGTCTCTGTGCGAGTCTATGGGTCTCTGTGCGAGTCTATGGGTCTCTGTGTGAGTCTATGGGTCTCTGTGTGAGTCTATGGGTCTCTGTGCGAGTCTATGGGTCTCTGTGTGAGTCGATGTAGTGTATGTTGAACTTCCTTTGAACTCCCCTCTGTTCTGTAGCGAGTGTGTGTCACTGCCCCGCTAATGGTGAATTGAGGGGTTTCAGTGTTTGATGACACAAAATACTCAGGCAGGTGCTGAGTTTTGGAGGTGCTGATGGTAAGACCCAACCAAATAGTAGCATGCTCCAGGTCAAGAAGCAGCGCCTTCAACGCCTCTGAGCGAGCAGCAATCACCAGATCATCATCATTTACTAATATAATGAGCCAAGAATGTTCGTGTGTCCCGCGCGTGACATCACTCCACGTCGACCAGCCCCCCCCATTAATAATCATGAGCAGGTTACCTCCTCCACATGGACCCCCATCCCTCATTAATAAACATGAGTGGGTGACGTCACTCCGCATTGAACAGCCCCCCCTTATTAATAATCATGAACATGTGACATCCTCCAAATGGACACCCCCTCCATTAATAATAATTAGTGGGCGGCGTCACTCCACGGGGGGGGGGGGCGAGGTGCCTCCTCCCCCCTCTTCAGCGTCAACTGACAACCCTCACGACAAAGGCAGAACCCTCACGTCATCACGTGATCTCCGTAACGCTGTTGAGATGTAGAAGTAAAAAGGACGTCATGATGAACAGGGGATCATAACCTTTAAATGAAATAAGTCTGTGTCACTGTGGCCTTAGAAATTGCACACGAATGGATGCAATGAATATCACGTGGTGGTCTGCTTTTCGCTTGCAATTTCAGATTTACTGCAATACACCCGTCCTTGTATGGGCAAAATGCTAGTACATAACATGATTGACCAACAGGGAGATATCTCTCGACCGCAATCCGGGCATCGATCAGCCTCGAATTTTATCTGTAACAGATGGAGATTCCTCCAGTACAGCCATGGAAAGCTTCTCGAACTCCATGATTAAAAAAGAGATGTTACATATTATAGAACCCAGTGAACACCCCAAGATAAACAGGGAATGGCTCTGACTCCCAGCCACGCAGCTTTACCCGGGCATGCCCACCATTATGATGATCCTTAATGATTGTGAGCAGAGTCAGGGACTCCAAAAGCACGATCAACAACCCAGAGTCCAGGGCTCTTTATGGTATCATAGGCCTTGGCAAAGTCAATAAACACACAAATGAATACCAACATCCATAATTCCCCACTAAGTGGCGGTGATGTCATAATGGCACTTGTGCCAGGCCAGGTGCACTTTCAGGCCACATGAAGTGTCGAAGGCTTGCTGACAGGAGGCCACGGGACAGACCCAGGTGCCATGGGTTGGCTGACTGAGATGACTTCCAGATGCACCCAGCTGTACCCCCCGACTGTGCCAACTTTATGGATTTTAGGCACCTGGCACTCTGCTCGTTGTTGTGAGCATCGTTACTCTCTTCTCATTCTTGCTGGAGGGCGACTGCCTCCAACTGCCCAGTAGCAGCGTCGTTCACGAACCTCCGCAAAAACAACAACCGCCATTCACCACTAAGTGGCGGTGACATCACCGCGACACTCGTGCCAGGCTATGTGCACCTTGAGGCCACGTGAAGTGTCGAACGCCCGCTGGCAGGTCACAGGGCAGACCTAGATGCCAGGGGTCGACTGACTGAGACGACTGGTTGATGCACCACCTGTGCCCCCTACTGTGCCAACTTGCTGTGCTTTAGCCACCCGGTGCTCCGCTCATTGTTGTGAGCGTCGCTCACAAAAACAAACACACGCGCACACACATAATGTGACTGACATCGGCCATAACATCCCCATTGGTGAAGAATTACCTGCAAATTGACTCAGTTTGGGTTAAATACAGCAGTAACATCGACACCGCCCCCTCACCTCCTGTGATGGCGATGTGCAGAAGCTTTAATCCAGCTGCATGGATGATGATACTGATTCGAATTCATGGACTGATAGTACTTTGCTGAACACAAAGTATCGTTTAGTTTTTGCATCAAGCTGGAATCCATTTCCCGCAGAGAGGGTCCTTGCTCATAAACATCTGGGCAGTTCACCGGCATCGGTATGAGTGGGCCTGACTTTTGCCGATGAGATTCTGTAACGCACTTCATAACACATTTAAGTGCAGTACATTGTTGTGCTCTGACTTACGCACTGTTTGACTTACCAATGGGTGTCAGAAACGAAGTGTCTTCGTAAGTCGAGGGCTGTCCGTATATTAGTACAAATTGCTTAAGACCATACGGTCTTGCCCATTTTTTAACACCACGTGCGAGCTTGCAGCAAGGCAGAAAAACAACAATAACAGTGACTTAAAGCTTTCGTGACTGCAGGAATTCATATTCTTTGGGTTTTTCGGTAAAGTCACGTGGATATAAATAGTGGGAAATAAAAATATGATGACGTTCCGATCGCAACGCAAGAAATCGTCTTCAGGCGGAGGTGAACTCTCCAGATATGTATGAGCAAGGGACCCTCTCTGCGGGATATTGCTTCTAGCTTGATGCAAAAACTCAACAATATTTTGTGTTCAGCAAAGTACTATCAGTCAATGAATTCGAATCAGTATCAAGCAATCGTCTACAGGCAGAAAAAGTGGAGGACTTTTTCCGCCTGAAGACGAGTGCGTGCGTTGCGATCGGAACGTCGCGATATTTTTATTTTATTTGTATTTTTTTATTTCTATCCACGTGACTCTACCAAAAGACCCAAAGAATAACAATAACAGTCCCAGACCACACCAAGACAACAACAACAGTCCTAGACCACACAAAGACAACAACAACAGTCCCAGACCACACCAAGACAACAACAACAACAACAACAGTCCCAGACCACACCAACACAACAACAGTCCCAGACCACCACAACAACAACAGTCCCAGACCACACCAAGACAACAAAAACAGTCCCAGACCACACCAAGACAACAACAACAGTCCCAGACCACACCAAGACAACAACAGTCCCAGACCACAACAACAACAACAGTCCCAGACCACACCAAGACAACAACAACAGTCCTAGACCACTCCAAGACAACAACAACAGTCCCAGACCACACCAAGACAACAACAACCACAGTCCCAGACCACACCAAGACCATAATAACAGTCCCAGACCACACCAAGACCACAACAACAGTCCCAGACCACACCAAGACAACAACAACAACAGTCCTAGACCACACCAAGACAACAACAACAACAGTCCCAGACCACACCAAGACAACAACAACAACAACAACAACAGTCCTAGACCACACCAAGACAACAACAACAACAACAGTCCTAGACCACACCAAGACAACAACAACAGTCCTAGACCACACCAAGACAACAATAACAACAACAGTCCCAGACCACACCAAGACAACAACAACAGTCACAGACCACACCAAGACAACAACAACAGTCCCAGACCACACCAAGACAACAACAACAGTCCCAGACCACACCAAGACAACAACAACAGTCCTAGACCACTCCAAGACAACAACAACAGTCCCAGACCACACCAAGACAACAACAACCACAGTCCCAGACCACACCAAGACCATAATAACAGTCCCAGACCACACCAAGACCACAACAACAGTCCCAGACCACACCAAGACAACAACAACAACAGTCCTAGACCACACCAAGACAACAACAACAACAACAACAGTCCCAGACCACACCAAGACAACAACAACAACAACAGTCCTAGACCACACCAAGACAACAACAACAACAGTCCTAGACCACACCAAGACAACAACAACAACAGTCCTAGACCACACCAAGACAACAATAACAACAACAGTCCCAGACCACACCAAGACAACAACAACAGTCACAGACCACACCAAGACAACAACAACAGTCCCAGACCACACCAAGACAACAACAACAGTCCCAGACCACACCAAGACAACAGCAACAGTTGCAGACCACACCAAGACAACAACACATAGTCCCTAAATTACATTACACATAAAACATTAAACTATCGATACACGGGTAAGGATAATATGTATGTGTACAAACGTTTTTATTTTCAATTCAACATTTAGTAGTAGAGCTGTCGCGACCAATATTATCCATAAGAGGTTGTTTTTGGTTACATTACGTAAATGTGTCATTAAACCCTCCACCATCGAGCACAGTGAACCAGTAAGTTTTGGCATGTAAACAATTCGTGACAAATTAGTTACAAGTTCAGCACATGTCACAGTACTCGAATTGTAAATGTGGTTGTGGCTTTACTCTCCAACACACAGCTGGTTAGTGCTGAATTCCTAAACTAATTGGCCACGTTTTGTTTACGTGACAAACCTAACTCATTGGCAGTGTCGAGTGGTGGTGGCTGGGTTTAACGAAATAATATCCTCAGAACCAAATGAGTTATATTCCAGGCCATGGCTAACATCAGTCCGAAAATGATCTTGAGCCCACAATATCCTTCACCAACACACACTACCCAGCGTGGTGAAGTATGGTCAAACAGCCGCTGTGACTAACACTTTCATTGGAAGGCCTTCATCCAGCAGTGGATTGGTGTTGGACTGCGTTTTAGATGTTAGATGTAAAACTGATCGGTTTGGGATCACGTCGTCATTGCTTTAGATGTGGAATGCAGATTTTGACAAACTTAACTGATTGGCTGTGTCGGGTGGTAGCGATGAGGTATTAACGACACGTTTCTAATTTATTTGCATTTTTATTCTTGTGTCCACAGGGATCGCCGTTGGAAATTCCAATTCTGCACCAAGGCCGCGTGCTAAACCAGCCGTGGAGTTTAGGTCTCATTGCATTTCATGGCTTACACCCCAAACGCTTGCATTAACGGTGTATGCATCACATAAGCTTTTAAACTTGCACTGAGTGTTTTATGTGCGGGTGGTTCAGCGTGAAGGTGTCGCTTTAGTTTCTCGGAAAAAAAAGTTGAAAGCCAAGTGGGAGTGTGCATAATATTTGATGCTCAGCGCGCAATTCACAGCAGTGGTCTAAATACAAAACGTTAAACAAATCATTAAACACCTTGGCAGATTTATGAGCTTAGTTCAGGATCAGTTTGCTTATGTTCGAGCAAATGTGAACACGTCATCATCATCATCACCACCACGACCTATGAGCAGATAGCCCATAGGTATCCACTACATATTTCGTAATTTATCTGGTTCTTTCGGTAAAGTCACGTATTATTTTTTATTGTATTTTCTACCCCATGCGACTTTACCGAATGAACCAGAGAGTATGGATTCCTGCAGTCACGAAAGCTTCAAATCGAGATTTCGTCATTTGTTTCCACTTTTCTCTGCCTTGTAGTGCCAATACGCTCAAGTAGTGCCACATTTTTCTGGCACCAGTCTCTTTTGTCGTCGTCAGGCTGTTCTCTGTTAGGTCTTCATCTCTTTTGGGTTCCTTCCATTTTTCCGAACAACATACTTTGAATTTCCCTGTTGTTGTCCACACTACATATGTCTAAACAGTGCTTGTTTCTTCTCATCACTGCCTGCATCATCAGGTTGTCTTTTTGTACGTGCAAATCTTTTTCCTACTTCCACATTGGTCACTCTTTGGGTCCAGCACAGATGCAGTAATCCTCATGTGGCAATACATTTCGAGTGCCAGTATCTTATCTCTGTCAGTCTTTTTCAATGTTCAAGTCTCGCAGGCATGCACAGCTGTACCAAACACGCATTGTTCCTCAGATGCTCGGTTTGGTCTTGAAGCTGATTTGCTCGCTTCTCCAGATGCCATTGAAATCCTGCAATTACTTATTTTCCCTTTACTCCATTCCCTTACGTGTGAAAGTGTAAGCGAATGAAATGGAGACCCTTTCGTTTTTCAAGGCGTTCTCCTGCCCCGCGTAAAGCATTTGCCCCACCGGCGTTGAAGATGCCTTGGCATCAGAGGAGAGCAATCATTTAGCAATTTGAGGACATCTACCGAACTCGAGTGCCATTGAAGACCGAACGCACCACTCAACCACTGCTGTGAATGTCGGCTTCAGTACACCTTGCTTCCTGTCCCGACCCCCAAGTAAAAAGTTTGCTGCCATCTTAGAAATGCCAAGACTGATTTTCACATGCGGCCACAAGTCATCTCGTTTGTGTATATGAAGCATCATTGCATTGCTCATACAACTTTTAAATGCTTCTTATAAGCCAGGTTTCCCCAAAACCCAGTTAGCGGAGGCCCCACCATCATTACGACACAAAGAAGTAACATTTCCTTTCTAATATGCAAATGAAGTTGCTTACAAAATGCTCGACGCGCCTAATGATTGCTCATGTGGCGTCGCCTGACATTGATACAAATTAAAATTAAAATCAGAGGATCTGCTTATATTCAGGATGGATCACGTGTGTGTTTTTCTTTCGAGGTGTAGAGCGCTTGATGTGTGTATATTTGTTTGCACATTTGTTGTGTGTGCGTGCGCGTGTTAATGTGTGTATCTGCATGTGTGTGTTTCCCCGTATTAATGTGTGTATAGTGTAGTCGTGGGGAGCGATAGTGTAGTGGTTAGCGCGCTGCGCTATGCACCTGGCGACTCGGGTTCGAATCCCGCTCACGGCCAACACCAGTGACGATTATCTGAACCGGTCCCGGGCCTCCCCTAGGTCGACTCAGCCTCAAATGAGTACCTGGTGCGGTGTGTAAACATTGCCACTAGGGAGACAAAGGCGGTCGGGCGTGGTGCTGGCCACCCACCCCCTCGTGTACCGTTCCGGCCTTCATAGGTGCTCGCTAACAGCACTTGCCCCTACAGTCTCTTAAGGCTATATGGGGGATCTTTGTCTTTGTATAGTGTAGTGCAGGGGTGTCCAAACTACGGCCCACGGGCCAACTACGGCCCGCCATCCATTTTTAATTGACCCGTATCAGTCTTTAAACATAATGGGCTATGGCCCACTGTATTGCGCTATTGTCTTGAACAAGGCAGCGTCTCCACAAACCAAGCAATCGAAGAAAAAAATTGCTCAGGGTCACGAGAAATGCCGGAACCGAAGAGACGCAAGATTGCAAGCGAGTGCAGAAAATTTCAGACTCGGTGGAAAAATGATTTTTTTTCCATAGAAACCAAGGGGAAGTGTGTTTGTTTGATTTGTAATGAGAGTGTTGCCGTAATGAAAGAGTACAATGTACGACGGCATTATGAAACGAAACATCAGACCTTCACGTCCTACACTGGCGCCGAGCGGAGAGAGAAGGTAAAGCAAATGGCAAGCTAGCCTGCTAACGCAGCAGCAGGGTTTTTTCCGTGCTAACAAAGCTCAAGAAAATGCAACAATAGCCAGTTATGAAGTAGCTCAACTCATTGCCCTACACGGGAAACCATTCTCAGACGGTGACTTCATCAAGCAGTGCCTCACTAAAGTCGTGGGAATAATGTGCCCGGAGAAAATGCAGGATTTCAACGATGTTATTATGGTCCAGAAATAAGGTTGTGCGGCGAATTGAAGACTTGTCGGCTAACTTAAAACAGCAAGTGTCAGATAAAGCTTGTGCTTTCGATTTTTACTCGATTGCATGTGACGAGAGCACAGATGCCACGGACACTGCACAGCTGTTAATTATTTTGCGGGGAGTTGATGATAATTTTTGCATTACGGAGGAACTGCTTTAGACTCTTCGGAGTCTAAAGGGGACAACAACTGGGAAGGACATGTTTGAAGCTGTGTCAGATTCAATTGACCAGGCTGGACTTAAATGGGACAAGCTGTGTGGAATTACAACGGATGGGGCTCCAGCATTGACAGGCGAGCGCAAAGGATTGGCCTCTATGGTGAGTGCCAAGGTGCGGGAGAGCGGAGGTGAGGCTGTAAAAATGCACTGTATCATCCACCAAGAAGCCCTCTGTGCCAAGATAATCCAGCTTGGCGATGTGATGAACACAGTTGTGAAAACTGTCAACGTAATTCGGGCACGAGGGCTTTACCACAGAGAATTTCAAGCGTTCCTCTCTGATGTCGATGGTGAATACGGGGACCTACTCTACCATTCTGAAGTGCACTGGCTCAGTCGCGGCTCCGTGCTGCAGCGGTTTCATTCCCTGAGATCAAATATCGACAAGTTTTTGAAAGAAAAGGGCAGACCTCTCCATGAGATCAGTGACCCTTTATGGTGGGCAGGCCTTGTTTTTTTAGTTGATCTCACTGATCATCTCAACACCCCGAACAAGAGACTACAAGGCAAAGAGCAGCTGGTACCACAGCTGTATGCGCACATGAAAGCATTCCGTGCGAAGCTCCGTCTCTTCGAGTCACAACTGGTCAACTTCAATGTAGCGCACTTCCCCACGCTGACCGAAATCAAATGCGCATTTCCAAATGCCAAGCTCTGCAAAAATGGGAGAATATGTGTCTGTGATCACATCTCTCATGACAGAATTCAGTCAGCGCTTCCAAGATTTTTCTGTCATTGAGAAGGACATTACACTGTTTGCGGCTCCGTTTTCAATGGATGCAAAAGAAATGGAGGAGAGTCTGCAATTAGAACTGATCGCAATTCAGTGTGATGATTCTCTGAAGAATCAGCATCGGCTTCTCTCCCTACCTGACTTCTACCGGAGCTTGGAAAAGGCCAAGTTTCCTCTGATGAGACGCCACGCAAAACGAATGATGAGTCTGTTCGGCTCAACATACATCTGTGAGCAGACATTCTCTCTGTTAACGCTGAACAAAAGCAGGCTGAGAACCAGAACGACCGACAGCCATCTCCGTGACGTCCTTCGCATCTCAACCACCAAACTTACTCCTGACCTGCCAGCTATCCTTCACACCAAAGCGCAGCATCACTGCTCCCACTGAGCGCAACATTCTTCCCATTACAAGTGAGTTAAAAATATACACACAGTTTTCATTTGTTAATAAGCCCAATTACTAAATAAATTCAGTCAATTAAAGTTTATGACAATTTTTTTAACAAACGTTAGTTGATGTGTTAACAAGCCCAATAATGTATTTGTGTAATAAGCTTGAAATATCCACATCCCCTATTTCTCTTCTTGTCTCTCCCTTCATACAGGACAATGAAGGGGGATCAGCACCCTAAGAACCAATCTGAGGCTGTCACTGAGAGAATGACCTGCCAACCTTTTTGTAAAACATAAAATGAACAGCTACTAATGGAGAGCTATGATGGAGGCTTTTTTTCTTCAAACATGTTCAATTAGCAAACGTAATTTACCTGTATTTGATTGATTTTGCCAATATTAGTGCATGAGAAGTGAGGTAGTATACCTCACGTCTAGTGAGTGGCCCAGTCCTTCGTTTATTTTTCTGTATGTGGCCACCGGGGAAAAAAAGTTTGGACACCCCTGGTGTAGTGGTTAGCGCTACGCTGCGCTATGAACCCAGCGACCCGGGTTCGATTCCTGCTCACGGCTAACACCAGTGACAATTATCTGAACCGGTCCTGGGCCTCCCCTAGGTCGACTCAGCCTCAAATGAGTACCTAGTGTAAAACATCACCACTGGGGAGACAAAGGCGGCCGGGCTTGGTGCTGGCCACCCACCCCCTCGCGTGTGCTGTTCCGGCCTTGATAGGTGCTCGCTAACGCGCTTGTTAAGGCTACACGGGGGTGGGTGATCTTGGTACTTGTACATGGGGCCGTATGACTATGACAAAGACCCCCCCACCCCGCCCTCCAATATAGTTTGCATAGACTGTACGTTCTGTTACTGAGCACCTATTTAGGGCAGAATGATGCGTGAGGGGCTGGTGTGGCCATTCCCACGCCTGGCCACATCTGTCTCCCCCATTGCTCGTGTTATGAAGCCCCTCATTGGCTACTCGTATCAATGCCGAGTCGAGGCAGGCATATCTGTCAACCCATGCGGTTTACGCCGTATACCTGCACAGGGAAATTGAGTTTTCAACCGTTTCATTTCGGGGAAAAAAAACTATTAATTTTATGGTACTTTCGGTAAAGTCACGGAGGTGAAATGATAATAAAATAAATCGTAAAATAAATAAAATCACGACCTTTCGATTGCAACACAAGCAATCAATCAGGTGTGGCAACCACAGCAAGAACATTTTTTTTACTGAAGTGGGAGAGATGCCAGAGTTTGGGGCAGTTACATAAGTCAGAGAGGGGGAGGGAGGGAGGGGGAACGGGAGGGGGCGAATGGGGAGAGGAAGGACGATCTCTGCTGAGAGCAAAGAAGATGATGGCGCCCACAGCAAAATAGCCGTACTGCTAAACGCTGAGGATGCAAAACTTCAAATCTAGAATGAAAAAACTATTTTTTTAAATCTATTTGTTTGTGTGTCTCCCGTGTGATGGGAGGTTGTAGGATGAACGTTGAGCTTTAACAAGGCACGGGATAACCAATAATGCCTGAATTGGTCTGTAAAAAGGTAGGGCACTGATAAGGAGTTGGCAGGTATGCGTAGAGGGCAGGCACAGGACAAGTTCAAAAGTCACTCGCCCCTACTCTATCAATGCCGTGTGTTGCACACTCGAAATGAAGGACGTCAGCAGGTGCTCCAAATCGAGGGCAAACACATTTATTGTGGTTAATCTGTAAAATGCAACAGCACGTGGTGTTACACAGAGCAATCCTCAACCGAGTCGCCATTAACCACGTGACTTGTGTATAAGTCTAATCAATAACCCTGCCAGCCACCCACAGGCCCAACTCAGTTATCGCATGCTGGTGTGCACACGTGCATTGATGTACTGCATAGCACATAAGGATCATGGGACCTCCTTTGCCAGTACCAAATATGATCATAGGTTTTTCCTAAGCAAAAAACCCACGACACAAGCGGCCATTGCTTGCGTCGCGATCGAAACGTCGTGGGTTTTTGCGTTTATTATTTTCGATTTATTTCTAATTTTTTTTATTTAATATTACTATTTTTATCGTGTTTTTTTGCTTTTAGTATTTAATTGATTATTATTATTTCAAATTGTCATTTTTAATTTGCATTTTATAATTTTTTGTTTTCTATCTACGTGACTTTACCGAAAGAACCAATCATGTTTTTGCACATTCTTGAATAACATGTTCGTAGGTGTTGTGTACATTTTTTGTGTTTTAAATTGTTTACTACGTGAAAGTAGCATAAACACACAATTTGATGAATTAATATCCTCCTGTAAATGGTTACTTTATTTATTGTACTGTGTTTACCACTCCAATCTCGAAGACTGACGTGATGATAAGGGGTATAGAATTGAAGATGGTTATTCAGTCTGAATCCAACTGTGTCTGTATAATGCTTGCAAACGCAATTGAATACATTGCTTATCAGGAGCCTACTGCAATCCGCTGTTGTTTCAACAACTTGTATTTGACGATGCAGCCATTAAACGGGTGCTCCGGTGAACGCCGAATTTCA